TTTATAGACTTTAATAAAACCCATGGTTTTATAAAAAAAAATTTGCTTCACGACTGTGCTGCTGTTTCGCCTCCCCTTTAACATATCTGTACAGGCTGTTACAAATTGGCTTCTCACTACAGGGATCTCGGAAACGGTAAGACATACGAAGTAGCTTAAATGGGGGAAAGTTGCGTAATCAGGGGACCAACACTATGCATCTAAAAAATCAAGGCTAACATGATTAGTTTTCGAAATATTTGAAAACAAACCGAAATTTTGGAAATACGTTTTTGTTTAATTACAGCCTTGTTTGAGGAGATACTGAAAAACGAAGAACACTTTCTCATGGCCACTTTTTGCCCTCTATCGAATGGCATAATCAATTTTTATATGTAACGTTTCGTCTCTCCAGGACCATCATCAACTTCATTTTTTTAAATACGACCCTGGAAATTTTATTACATTAAAAAAAATGCAAAATATTTTAGACGCCCATGGGTGTGTAAGGTAAATTATGAAGAGAAAAACTGAATAATGTCGAATATGTTTAAACAGCTTTGAAAAAAATGACGGTTTATATTTCGACAACTAAGCAACATTGCATATAGGTTGGGGGTTGAAATGACGTCATTTTATCTCTAGAATGCGTCTTAAAATTTTGTGCTCATCTTTCTGATACACGATATATAAATGAAACATTTACATAAAATATAAATCGAACGTTGTAATATGTTTTGCCTAAAAATTCTCAAGAATTGTGTTATACGAAAAATATCATATTTCCAATTGAAATTCTTTGAAAATTATTGGAACTTTTTTTTGTGGAAGCCATATAGCTGACGCTTTCGAGTTCTTTGATGGTGTTGAATATACTTCGCAATAAAAAATCTCGCCTCTTTGGCCGAATGTTTCATATTCAGACAGTGTTTGGTGGGCTATTTATATTACCTAAACCATCGTTTAGTAATGAATCGTTGTCTTTTTATTTAAATATACAGATAGTTTAATAAGTTCTTGTTGCACCTTCAGGAGATTATTTTTGGTATTAAGGAAAAAATTTATTTTATTGACCCGACGGTCAAAAGGCACTGCCACACATTACAAGATGTTACAATATAAAAATATAACTTTTATTCAAATATCCCTGAAGATGGTTCGCGTAAATCGATGAGACTTGGGTTACTTATACAATAGATTATTCATTAATTTTATAAAAGAAAAATCAGTGAATTGACATATAAATCTGTCTACTAGTGGTGGAGATACAGTTACCAAGAACCCAACATTTTTTAATTTAAAATTTTCCCACGCGAATGATTAGAGGACAATCTTCACAAAAATAAAAACTGTGATTTTTCTGTTTCAAATATAATCTTTCATAAAACAACCACAGAAAAATAAAAAACCATTGGAAAATAATTCCCAAAAAGTCATCATTAGAGGAGAAGGACTTAATCCATTAAATATAGTTTCTAGCAAATCTAAGTTAGTCGGTCTATTAAACCCGGATTTTATAGATAATATTCCAGACAATAACGCAGATAATTAAAAACTTAAAAAATAATCAACAGCCGGTGTGGATTTATTTATATTTTTAAATAAACTATTTCATTATTCCTCAAACATTGCTCTAGTTACCCCAATTCCAATAAAGGGTACCCTAAAATTTTATCGGATGTACGGACCGTTAGTATTTTATCAGGATTGCTAAGATGGCGTAAAATGTAATTAAAATATAGATTTGTGAGCACAGCTTCTCTACAGCTTTGATGCACGTAACAATTTTTAGATAATATTCTCTTCATACGTATGCGCATAACAACTATATCATTATATAGGTTGTGTATCAAAAACGATGATTTGAATACAGTATTTGATATATTCTGTAAACATTATCTTGGTATAAAATTCTACAAAAAAGTATTGCTTTTGTTTAGTAAGAGACCTCAAGTCATTGACGTTGACAATTTATCTAAAATTTATATAAATGATCATTTGCTGAAGTTATCTCAAAGTGTGAAAAAATTTTGGGAATCAGAAAGCAAGTCTTCTGTATCCTCATCCTAAATATTTAGATATAAATACCAAAAAAGATGTTTTGTGAGACACTTATACTGTTTCAGTTTAATAATATCTCAGAATATTGTTTGCTTTCCTTTATTTAAAATAGTTAAGAATGATATGATTTATATAAAAATTTTCAAAAACATCCACACTTTTAGGTACTGAATATAGTCTAAGAAATAAGTAGTTAAATTGGAATTACACTAGTAATACTTCCAATATAAATATTTATGTATATAGAGAGTTACAATGTTTTAATTATCCAAAACAGGTATCTTTCCTATTTAAGAGATACAGAAACGGTTTGAGCAAAAATGTGCAGAATTTTATGCAGATTATGGATTTATTTATAAATTTAGAAAATTCCGAATTGTTCCGAAGATATTAGGTAGGTGTACAAGGAAATCGATTTTATGTTATTTCTTTTTTAGTCAACTTTCACTTGTTTTTCAAAATTTTAGGACTACTTACTTGGTGGTTTAGCTACTTGGCCGCCGAAAGTCCAGATTTGACCATCATAGACTTTTTTCTTTTATGGTTATGTTAAGAATTAGCTATACACAAGATGATACAACAATAAGAAAGAATTGAGAATAATTTTTTCAAGAGTGATAAACTCATCAATGCTTGATTGCTTGATTGCTTGATGCATGATTCGATCGGCTACACAGAGCATTTACGAACGAGTGCAGAAGTGTATAAATAGTAGGTAGTAGTATGAATTTCAAACATTTGTGACAAAATTTAAATTGACCATTTAATTTTGTTTTGCTATGTTGTTTTATCTACATTGTTTTGTTTGTTGCTCGTGTTATTGTTGTATAAATAAAGGTTGCTGTTTTAAAAATAAGAAATATTAAATAAATTTATAGAAAAAAAATTATATTATAATTATATTCAATATCTTTGTTATCTATCAATGAAAACTCCATAAATTATATATCGTTATAAAGGGAGTTTCCCATTTCTTCTAATAAGGCAAAATATCAATATGGCGTCCATAACAAAAACAAAAGTTAACTACCGCTCAGCACACATTTTTAGACATTACGTTAATACTGACAGCAGAAATCGATTCCTCGTGTCATTTACACATTTTTGCCTCAAATTTTGAAAAACAAGTAAAAACAAGAATAAAATAATTATAATAAAATCGGTTTCCTTCGAATATCTTTGGAGCTATTCGGAATTTTCTAAATTTAAAGACAAATCCGTGATCGGTATAAAATTCGGCACATTTCTGCTCATTTAACCATTTCCGTATCTCTTAAAATGAGAGAGATGCCTGTACTGGACTAAAAGTTGTAACCTTATAAATATCTACCAAAATATTGTAGTATTAATTAATGTTCGCTAATTGTGAATTTAATAGGGTTCCAAATTTCTGCTGCGTTTATAACTCATTAAAATAAGCCAAAAAGTTCCTATTAACATGTGCCCTAAAACGCACCCTTAGGAAGTTATATGCCCTTAAAAGGGCTCAAACAAAACTGTTTTTTTCCTGTTATTTACAAAACGGTCGCAAATAAATAGAAAAAAATTTATGGGTCTTACATATCTTCTTACGTTAAATAACATGGGCTACTCCGGTTTTCGACATGCAAATCATATGCGTCCCATTTAGGTTGGTGAAGGGGTTTTCGGCCCGTAATTTTTTTTATTTCAATTTTTTTACAATTTTCTCTACAGATTTATAAAATCTTAACAATTTTACGTAAAAAATATTATCTTTATCCAAATCCATATTTCCAATGGTTTTCGAGTAAATTGAGTTTGAAAATTACTCTGCTCTTTAAGTTATTAGGCCAAAAATTATAAAAATCTGTTTACCATGGCAAATAAAAGACTGACGTTGCCACAACGCTTAACAATTTAAGTTATTGATAAACTGTCGATTGAGCTTTGCAGTGTTAAATTAGTAAAAGTGTGACGGAAGAAAATGTATTGAGTACTGTGCAGGACAATCCAAGGGTTAGTGTAAGAAGTGTCGCACGTATGCATAACATAAGTTTTTCCATAGTTTGGCGAATTCTTTGCGAACAACTACTTCATCCTTTTCACATCCAGCGTGTTCAAGCTTTAAATCCGAATGACTACGAACCACGTCGGTAGTTCAGCCAATGGTTTTTGCGAAAACCGAGGCGGATTCCGAATTTTGCATCTCTTATTTTCTCAATACATTTTCTTCCATCACCGGTGTTCTTACAAATCTGTCTCTGCCACGATCATTTACTCTTGGTTGGAACGAACCATTTTCCCTTAAACGTTGATCGATCCTCTGAAATACCTGTCGAGAAGGAAGTCTTCTATTCGGGTATGCTGCCGCATACAGACGCCTCGCTTCTGAGCAATTTCCAGCCGCACGGCCGTACATAAAGTGCATATCTGCCACTTCCGTGTTTGAACATGACTCCATTTTATGAGTTGCAATAATGTTGTATACTTAAATTTTCCACTCACCACTTTTACTAATTAAACACTGCAAAGCTCAATTGACAGTTTATCAATAACTTAAACTGTTAAGCGTGGCAACCATTGGAAATATCGATTTCGACAAAGATAATATTTTTTACGTAAAATTGTTAAGATTTTATAAATCTGTAGAGAAAATTGTAAAAAATTGGAAATAAAAAAATTACGGGCCGAACACCCCCTTCACCAACCTAAATGGGACACATGATTTGCATCGAAAAACGGAGTAGCCCATGTTATTTAACGTAAAAAATTATGTAAGACTGATAATTTTTTTTTTCTATTTATTTGCGACCGTTTTGGCAATAACAAAAAAAAAACAGTTTTGTTTGAGCCCTTTTAAGGGCATATAACTTCCTAAGGGTTCATTTTAGGGCATATGTTAATAGGAACTCTTTGGCTTATTTTAATGAGTTATAAACGCAGCAGAAGTTGGGAACCCTATTTTAGAAACACCCTGTATAGAAAAAATAACAGAATAATAAAATTGTTACAGATTTTTATTTATGTATAAAAAAGACAAACACAATTTTGCAAACAAAATGTACACAATTCAAAATATACCGTGATAATTTCTTATCACATAATAAAATAACATGTCTTAATAGTAATAATAAAAAATAACATTTAAATTATCATTCACAATAATGGCTACGATCATTATTTATGTATATACAGTCAGAAAAATTATTAACCTAAGGAAAAAATTGATCTCACAGATGGTGAAACATCAACAAGACTACCTGATAGCAGTCGGCTACAGGACTAGCTTACCTGACTTTCAAAATATCAGTAATAATAATCATTTGTATAGCACAGTGATGTAGAAATAATAGAAACACATTAGAGAGAAAAAAAGATTTTGTTAGTAATATATGAAATTTAAATTTAGTAGTATAATAAGAATGAGATACTGGGAAAAGTAATAGTTATTGAAATTTGTTAGAGAATAAAGAAAAATATTAGACACAAACACAGTAAGTAAAAGATAAAGAAAAGTAACGTTTTGATACGTTCTATCTACATATATATTTTTAATGCAGAATTGTTAAGTTGAAGAAACAGTAAAGAAAGGGTATAAGCTGAAGACAATAAAACGAGGTATAGAAAATAGGAATAGCTTTTAGAGAAGTCAGATTATACAGACTATTTCACTATTGTTAAGGTCTTCAGCACCATATTGTAATTATTTTACGAATTAAAGTATGTTTCCCTAGCTTTTGGAAAAAAAAAACTTTAATTGTTTTAGCCCTGTGTTACTTAAGTAATTGTCAGTAACAAGTACTGTCATTTCCTTAATACACAGTTGTAGTATAGGTTAGAAAAGAGCTTTGTTAAAAAGTAAGTAAATTTTTCTTTGTGATTATTAAAAAAAATATTTTCCAAAGTGTTAGCAGACGTGTACGGGTTACAGCAAGTGGTGAAATATATGAAGTTAGAACAAAGTTGTCAGAGAAGTAAATATAATGTTATTCGTGCTGGAGAAATTCAAGATACTTACATGCATAAAGAAAAGTTGTTCAATAATGTTAAAGACAAAGAATAAAAGTTACACAGTTTTGGAGTGAAGAGTGCGAAAGTGATAAAATTAGAGAAATAAGAGAGTTCTAAGTGTATTTACAAGGTTTTGAGAACATGCTTAGTTAATGTCACTGTGAAAATCTGAAGGATAGTTTACGTTTAGAATGCATATAGTTTATTAGTGCAACTTTATACTACGAAAACGAATATTATAGTGCAAACAAATATAGATATAGATAGAACAGATTTAAAATAGAAAAAAGGTAGATATACAAAGCTCAAAAGGTTAAATGCAAAAGTTTCTGGGGAGAGTTTTTTGAGAGAAATGAAAAATAAATAAGTTAGAAAGAAAAGAAAGATATCACATTCTTCCAATTTCAGTAGGAAAAGAATTCTATTAGTACATATTTTACGTTAGTTTTACTAAAAAATCTGATATTACAAACAAATACAGTGGCATGCATAAAGGAATTTATGATTTTCAAGAACTGATACAGATGTATAAACAAGCAAAAGGTGAATTGTTATCACTAAGTCTAACAACATTGCATACTTGTGAATCTAATGATAATTAGTTATAGATTTAATAACTGCATAACTTGTTAGCTATATAGACACTCAATAGTACAGTAAATAGAAAATAACATAAAGATTTAGAAAGATTTTGCACTAGAAAGAATTGAAAGAATAGTTTCAAGGTTGAAAAAAACTAAATATATAAAGATATTTAAGTGTGATTGTAAATGAAAGGTAATAGATACACCTCCAAGTAAAATAAAAGCGTTTGGTAAGATTGGCACAAGAAAATATCGTCATGCAAGTGAAGGTACAAAACTGGAAAAACTAAATAAAGGAAAAGGATTTAAGGTTAATTTTAAAGGAAATGTAATAGATAAAAATGTAAGTAAAATAAAGATTGCCAAAAGCGATTGAGAAGACTAACAGTTAAAAGTTGAACATCTAGTAAAGCATATAAAAGTAACAAGAGAATTTAGTTAATATCTCAGATGAGATGAAGGTTGTAGATTACAGAAAATTATCTATAGATTTAAATGACTATTATCACTCTAGTTCTCTAATTGGTTGTAGTTTAGTAGTACCCAAAACTAATGTCATGCAGCGGAGTGGAATCTGCAGGTAAAGCATAGTCTTTACTCAACTGGTCTAAGATGCCGCCGCTACGACCACCGGAAGGGGCGGCAGGCCTTGGTCGGGGAGCTGGGGCGAATGATGGAGCTGGCCTGGGGGCGGCCGGCCTTGGGGCAGGGGCAAATTGGGAAGCGGGACGTGGGCGTGCTGCCGGAGCAGGTTCAGCGTAGGAGATTCTCGGACCTGGTCTTGGAGCGGGAGCGGATTCGTAGTCTTCCTCTACTGGAGCTGGCTGGAACGATACTGGTGGTGGTCTAGGCCTGGGAGCTTTTGGTGCTTGTGCGAAGGATTTAGCTGAACGGGCTGGGGGACCGAAGTCGAAGTGGTGTTTGACTGGGGCTGGTGCAGCGCCTGTGAATGAATAAAAATGTTGTGTATGCCTTTTCTTTTTAAAAATAACTTTCAAGTAACACAAAATGGTGCAGTAATTTTTTGTAGGATGTCTTTAATAATGGGTGTTTGATGATGAATTGGTCAAATTAATATCAATACAGAAAATCAGAATAAGAAATTTTATTTCTTATTCTGATGCTTTAGCATGTGCTACAATATGTATATATGCTGGACTTTAAAAGGAATGTCATGAGTATTCAAATACGAGTATATCCAGAGTTAACTGCAGAGGAAGCGAGGAATAAATTAAATTATTTTCAAGATTTACGTCTTCTCTTTATTTCGTTGTCATTACTTCATCTATAATAACTTACTAAGATAAAACATGGCGCCGGACTGAAACAGGAAATAGAAAACACTTAGTCCAAACGTTAAAGAAAAGAGAATATAACCGGATCTATAGGAAATTAAATTTTAAATTGACTTTCTTCTTTAAACTCGTTTCAAAAAAATCGGAAAGTTGCAAAACATGGTTTTTCTTGAAAAACTATAGTTCCGTTCGAAAAATATTACATGAGAAAGTTGTAGGTTTTAAAATGGTCTATCGGTAGATTTTTTATCATAAGTATCGACTGCTTTGTTACTTTTCGAGATATATCGAAAAACCCGTTAAAAATCTTCTGTTTTCTCTTTTTCTATAACTCGTTTACATTTACGCTCCCATACTTGCTAGGCGCTTTAGAAAATTGGCTAGATTTTCTCGGCGAATGGCCCTACAGTAACTATTTTTGGCTTATTTTTTACATAAAGAGTTGTATTATCATGCTATTAAATATTTCCACTATTATTATTAATTTTAAGAATCGAAAAATGACTGAAAAAATTGCACTTTCCTTAGAATTGGACTTTTTTTGTCTGCCTAGGATCACCGTAAAATGTAAGATGGTGAATAGATCCGCGACAATGCTATCTGCTTAATAATAATTTTCTCCAGATTCGTTTACAGTATGAAGCAATATTTTCGAAGAGTGAAGTTTGCGTATAAAATCCACAAGTTAGTTAGATACCAACAGTATATGAAGAAAGCATTCCAAGCTTGTGGACAGAGGTCAAGTGTCTATTACGTAAGAATTGAAAGCTTCAACAATTACTATAAATATAACAACATTATATAAACGTTATTAAACGTTTCCTTATATGTATTATACCTGAAATTTGGGGACGCGGTGGAGCTGGAGCAGGAGCAGCCTGAGCTGGTTCAAATTGTTGTGGAGGAGAGTAATCAAACGATTGTTGTGGCTGAGGTCTAGGTCTGGGAGCTGCTCTCGCTGGAGCACGAGGAGGTTCTGGTTCGTAGTAGTCGTCTCTGTAGGTACCATCCTTGTTGGTGCTTTCATCTACTAAAGTTGGTGGCGCTACAGTTATGCCTTCACCTGATGGTTCAAATCCGTACTTGGTAGCTCCGTACTCTACCACACGAACCTTGCCTACGTCATCGACGTACCCATATTTTCCTTTAACTTCACCAGTCGGGAGTTTGGTTTCAATTTTGAAGGATCCATCGCTACTTTCGTAGCCGTAGGTATACGAACCATCGTCGTTGTGCCTGTGACGGTTGTTAAGAGGAATAATGTATGTAGAAAATTCAATACGATTAGTTTCATTTCAAAAAGTCATAAAGATCAAAGTAACTAACTTTATTTTGCCCAGAGAGAAGAAATTTTACATTTTCCAAATTCTCTGTAACAATTCTGTAGCTTACATATATAAATTTTGACAATACTATTTGTGATTGTGTATTCCAATAACTCAGGATTTCCAAAGTCAATACCATCATTAATTTTTTATTTCAATTACGTAGGTATATATACAAAAACCGACGAAGGTCATATAGGGACACTGAATTGTTTAGATCTTTCTATTAATATACTGAAAACTTGTGATCTAAGCAATTACAAAGAGAGTTTTAAATGGAAAGTTCAGCCGCCACTTGAAAAATAAATATAATAAATATATACCTTCTTTCACTCATTAATGATTTCGTCGTGAATAATAATAATCATTATTTATGGATGCAATTTTTAATGAAAAGATGTTGATTTCGGAAACAAATTATTTTAAAATAAAGAGACATTATTGACATTAAGTCAGTTTCAAAATAACTACTAAGAATTTCAAATAAGTTAAAAGTATATGTAGGTTTTAGTGGAATATTACTTGGATATTTTTTTATTTTGTTTCTAATAATTATTATTAGTTAAAATTAATATTATTACTTAATGTGAAGGCAAAACTTTATAAAATTTTCTAATTATAAACAACTATCTGTTTCATTTTCTGAACACCATGTATATACAAATCTAACTTAAGGTAATTCAATTATTTTTATCAAGAATTAATTTTCTTAAAGAAAGTAATAGAAAATAAAAAAGTTCTCTCTGGGCCAGTAACCAATGGATATACTGAACATTTGCATGTTAATACCTCTATTTCTTAAATAAATGGTAAGTTAAGGTCTATATTAGAACTTTTTTTTGAAATCCCACTTTTTCGTACACTTAGATCTTTTTTACCTATCAATTTGTTTCAAAATGGTAATTGGTGCGGCTTTAGGTGCTGATGGTCCCGAATATCCAGGTTGCACTCGTGGTGGTGCTGGCCTAGCTGGTCTTGGTGGTAATGGCTCGTAGTCGTCGTAGTCTTGAGCAAACGTTACTGCTACAAGAGCAAACACAGCCAGCTGAAATAAAATACGTACATGTTACTGACATCGTTACCCTCAAATATTAAATGGAATAGATTCAAAGGAGATATGACAGAATAATATTTTTTTGAAATGAACACTACAAAAAAACTAATAAGGAATAGGAATTACATTAATTAGAATAACAATCGTAACGAGCGAAATTCTTAACGGAATTAAAGAAAACTGGAGGAACTAAAGAAATACTAAACTATAATAATAGAATATGGATTCCTTATAATTCTTAATTATAATGGAAAAGAAGCTGAGTGTTTTGATTATGCCAGGTAAAACGTACAAGGATTTTATAAACCGAAAACACGTTTCCTACCTGGCTTGAAACAGTAAAGAGATATGCAGAAGATAACTGAAGACATTTGAGATTATAGATTTACGATTATGGATTAATATAAGCCACTGGCGAATACAACAATATACTATTAGTGCTAGCACTCTTAGGTTACAAAACTATCTGTCATCGTTAACTGACGTATTGGGTGAGTACAAAAGGAGCCCGTACGGTCTTTATGAAAATGTGATCTCGGTCAAATTGGCTGAAATTGTGGTAAGTTGTTGGTTTTGTGTTGCTGACCAAAAGTCTTCAAAGTACTTGGGTCCAAAAATCAATTATTTCCTACTTATAGCGGTCTGAGTCAATTCTGCTGATGATGGCTGCAAAGTAGTATGAGTAGAACTTTGGTGAAATGTTTATAGAAAAAATTAATCGGATGACTTCAAAAACTTGCTAATTAACAGTTTTGTTCGCAACAGTAGTTTGTAGATTGCATTCGTACATCTCTCAGTTAAATGCAATAATATCCCTAAGTATCAATAAGTGAATTGGATAACGCTATAATCAATCTAATATAAGATTGTTTATTCTCTCCCTCCACCTTCCCCATCTTTTGAGTGGTGGGGTTCCGGGCTTGGCCACATGTCAAAGATGTTAATTAGCAACTTTTCGAAGTCATCCGAAGTCATTGTTCATTTTACAAAGGTTATGGTTTTATCTCTATATTCTACTCATACTACTTTGCAGCCGTCGTCAGCAGAACTGACTTAGACCGCTAAGTAGGAAAGAATTGATTTTCGGACCTAAGTCCTACTGTGAAGACTTTTGGTCAGTATCACAAAAACACAATTTCAGCCAATTTAACCGAGCCAATATTTTCATAAAGACCGTGCGGGGTTCTTTAATTTTTGATTGGGACCAATAAATATAAATCTGTAAAAGATTTTCTTTAACACGAAATACATTTCATTTACATTTTATACCGCTCAGACCCCTGCTGATTCAGACGCTACTGTTTTTTTGTCGAGTTTTGCGTGAATTACTGTGACGGAATTAGACTGTAGCAAATTTATCTGTGTCTGCCATGGTTGTATTTTGTTTTCAAGTTTTCATGGTTACTATATTGGATTAAATTGTTGGTGTCGAATAGTGAATAAAATGTACCTTTTATTTATGTAATTTTTCGCTATTAAAATTATGCTTCTCAATTCGAAATAGGTACAGCTCATGTTTTTCCATATTGTACTTCAATACTTTAAATCACATTCGCTAAGCTTAAGTGAGGAATAAAAACAGGTAAATATGTTCATTATAATTAATAATTGGGTGTAAAATTCGACATGAGAATACTTTTTCGATACGATTGAACAATTAAAATCAGTTACCATTACGATATTTGTGTTCGGATAAAAGGCGTGAAACCGCAAGGAATTTGTTAATAACTCAAGGCTGATACACAGTTATTTTAGCTCCGGGTGAAAAGGAGGCTTGGTGCCGATGGAAACAATTCCATTTTTATTTTTGTTTGGATTAGATACATGTTTGTTTATACGCGGATACATTCGGAAACGAATTTGTAATTGAAAATTATTATTATTTGTATTGCTCAACTGTTATTACTAAATATACGGCCTTACGCTGGCTTTTATGTTTATCAAGGATAACTTGATTTGCATTGCTCATGTTTGAACTATGTTTGAATATATCATTTACTGTTAAACACAATTTTTAGTTTCACGTTTAATTGCGATTATATTGATAGGTAAATAGAAAATGCTTTATGGCATCCTGTAAATGATTTATGTTATCTGTCATTGTAAACTTTGTCCCTGGTAAGTGTTCATAATATACAGTATTCGTTGCTACCTCCAAAAAGCATCTGTTACTTTATCTAAAGATCATGGAACTTATGAAGACCTGTAGGGTAGCGTTTGGTTTTCGAAACACAAACCGTGAAAATTTTTACGATATCCGAAATATTTGATGCAGAATATTCTAATGTAATCAACTTTTGGCAGAGTCAAATATTCAGTCTCGTTAACAGTCTCAGTAGTTCGAAGCTAGTGAGTATTTCGAACATTTTTCATTAAAAAAAAACCAGGCAATTTTGATTTGGCTATTAATTTTTTGACTTAGGTTACTGTCACTACATTAATCTTGGCGTAACTCTAGAACTACCCGCTTCATAAAAAAGTCAATATTTCTTTTTATAAATCTACTGAATTCGGATATACGTGTACAAGTGGCGGAGACACAGGCGGGAGCCACTCTTGTTAAAAGTAGCTCGAAGCTAGTGAATATTTCGAAAATTTGATCACTGCTTGTAACTCCTAGTGATGTCTCTAAGAAAAAAATATTTTTTCTTTTTTCTGAAAAAAAAACATGCAATTTTGATGTAGCTATTATTTTCTGACTTACATTACTGTCACTGTCTTCATTAAACTTAGCCTGACTCTAGAATTATATATACTATATAGTCAATAGTGGTTTTTCTAAAGATGTGATTAACTATTTTTTTCTCAGTTGTAGTCAATTATTTTTCAGACTCTTCGATTATATTTAAAATCAATAAATCTTTTGCATTAATTCGAATGCTTGGTAAAGGTAATGCACATTAAAAAGAAATAATAACTATAAAGTGATTAATTTATTTAACAAATCAGAAGAGATATTAATCTTAAAGATCCTAGTATCCATTAGCGATGAATATCAATTAGTGATGGTCATTAGCCAATTTTTCATAATTTAGTTTTAAACATTATTTACTTAATCCTAGAACGTATTTTAAATTTTTCTACTTTTTTTTTCTTCAGTGAAAGTAACAATTATTACTTAATGTGTAATTAGTCTGATTTCAAGGGTCAATTTTTTGAAAAACCATTAAATGTCATGATATGACAGGAAAAACATTAACAGAAAACACAATTTAGCTTACATTCAAAAGAGACATAAATCAAACTTTATGCATAAAAGCTATAGAGAGTATGTCATTTAAAGAAAACACTCTATATACATATAATATGATAGAAATTGAAAGGAATCCATCGAACTGAATTTTTGTAAATTTCTTTACCTTAGTTCCTCATAAGACACTATTTTTCCAAATAAAATTCTAATTTTGTATAGTTTCGATTAAAACATATTTAGGGGAGCGTGTTTATGTGCAATATTTTATCCAGCACTTTAGAAAATATAAGCAGTTTAGAAACAATAGATATTTCTTTACTGTACCAGTTATGTAAGTTTTCTTCAGGATATAAAACAACCGACGTACATTTAAAATAAGGAAAAAAGAGCATATTTTTACCTATATAGCATGTTTATCATACGCTTCCTGAACTTTGCACGGCTGTTGAATAGACACAAAATCTCGTGCGCGTACTATAAACACAGAATGCTTTTAGGAAACTATTAATACATGCATTAATCACAATTATTGAGTATTTGTGCTAATGGACAAAACAGGAAAAGTACATTTTTTGATGTTCACGTGTTCACCGTGATCTTTCAATGCGAAAAGTCAAAGAAAATTGCTTTAGTTTAGCATTACGCTTCATTGTCTTACAAAAAGTGTGATTTCATGTCTATAAAACGCCTGTCTTACTTCACTTTCTTGCAATAAATTAATTGTAGGACATAATATGGTGTCCAAGAAAATTTAATTTTATCTAAAACTAAAACAAAAAGATTGTATAAACATAAGCAGATTTGAATACGAAAAAATTAAAAATTCAATAATTCTCCCCAAAAATCTAGTTCCGTAGAAAAGATATTAGTTAACCGGTTTAAAATGTGAATTTGAAACTCTTGTATCCTTTTTAATGACCGTTTCCAGGTTTACGTCATAAAATTTCTTATTTTTTAGTTAAATTTTTTAAACCTATCTCAGTATTAAAACTGGAAAACTTACAAAATTACAGTAGCCATATAATTGTTAGTGACTACGTAACTTTCTTAACTATGCCTTCTATTCAAATTAATCCTTAAACGAATCAGACTAAATCTAATTATTTTTTGTGAAAAGACGTGACATTAATCTTTATCAAATCGGTTTCACTTTTACTCGGCAGGTATCACCTATGTCGCCAAAGATTAAGTAATCGTTTGTGGGCTTTAAAGTCGTTGAAAGTAAAAACGAAACTGTAACAGTGTACCATGAGCTAGAAAGAATGAGAATAACAAGTCTGTGGTCAGTAGGCCACACCTTACGTACACAACTTTTGACTTTCAACTTCAATGTTGCTTTCTACATGGAATTGTTTGAATTATCGGGCAATTTTGTGTGTGGCTATGACAAATTGAGATCACTACAAGATAAATGCGATCTAAAAATAAGGAAGTGTTCCCAGATAAAAAAAATGCAATTTATTACAATACACATGATATTGCTGAAAAGAAAAGTGAAATTGGCCAAATCAATTACATGCTTTTTAGGCTTGAAATTAGGATGTTTTGGAAGATGTTTTCATATAATTTCTTTAACCGACCCGCATATAAGAACTTATGATCTTTAATTTATGATACAGAATCAATTTCACAGCAAATTATGTATAAATTTCTAAGGACTGTTTCCTAGGAGTGTAGTAAAAGAGTAGTGAATATTGGTTTCGCATTTAGTTATGAAAAAGCCAATTGAATTTTATAGATTTTACTTATTTATTTCAGACAATTTCTTCTTAAATATGACTCTATTAAACATATTTCA